CACTGCGCTATTTGTGCCTGGGTGTTTTGTCTTTGGAGTGGACAAGCTCTTTTCTTGTAGCAAAAGGAAAAAGAGAAAGAACAAAAACACATCAATGAAGCACTCAAAACCTGCGGATATCCCAACTGGGCCTTTGTCAAATCCACAAAAAGATCCAGTAGGAGCACTTTCACTACAGACAGAGAAGAGAAGAGACTTTGTCATTCTATTCCATTGAAGGAGCATCATAAATCCTTCCTTCCCCACCAGTTAGCTAGAACTGAAGAGGCTTCTTGGAGGAGAAATGAAATGTCTTCACGAAAAATCAAGAAAGTCCAGCTGCTGTTTGAAAAAGCACCTTTGGGATAATCATGACCTGGATGACTGAGAATCTCCATAGACCTTTGCCTGGAAAGAACTAGGTAGGATTCTCTTCTTATATCTTTATGTAGGTATCTCTAGTACTGCATTTATACAGATAGTATTACTAAGCCTTTGGTAGTATAGTTATCCTTTTTTTGCTGCATATATAAGTGCCAAGTCTCCTTTTCCAATTCTACTGGGAAGTAGAAAGATGTATGACCCCCTTTCCAATACTATTAAGTCCTAAACTGTGATAGTTCTTAATTGTTATTTCTACAATACTCATATATTCTTCCTTACAAGGATTTTATATGGGATTCTGCATCTTACCTGCTACATATGTTGATGGTTCTGGCTTTCTAGAGCACTTTGGGGACTTCAAATTAGGTTGTTTTCCCACTGACTGTCTTTTTCCTGGGAGAAAGGCAAGCAAATGTGAGATTTTTCTTTTACATCTGGGGAAATAACTCACTCAAATACTGAAAATCCTCAAATTGGCATTAGGGAAAGATAGAAGAAAAAGCAAGCGTATCAGTCCACTGACTGGATCAACTGGGAAGCCATCAAAGGAAACAAATATATAGGGGTCGCCTAATCTATGCCAAGCAGAGAATTGGGAATACTATTCTACTCACCTGAAACTTTTTGCTTCTTTTTGGGAAGTTGTCTGTAGTCTTCTTCATCATCTTGTTCCATCCTATGCTTTGACTTGGAGTGGGAATCTCCAGCTTGGGAGAGATACCAAGACAGCTTTTTTATATTTACAGATTTAAAAAAGCAAATATAGATTCAAGACATATGCAGCTATAGCCTGAATGATTTTGTGTGTGTGTGTGTGCGCCTTCAGGCCAATGTTGACTTTTGCTGACTTCTTGGATCTAATCCCTACAGCTTTCTTGGTATGATTTTTATAAGTGTCTACTTCCTTCTTTGCCATAGCTGAGAGAAAATAACTAGCCCAAAATCACCTAGGTGGCATCATGCCCAAGATGGGCATATAATTTACAGAATTAATCCTAACTTTAACCATTACATCAAACCAACTCTCCTAATAAAAACATTAATCAAATAATATTTACATTTTGTAGTTGTTTACCCAGTCTCTCTTAAGATTAAATTTAACACAAAATAAGACTAACTACAAAGTGGCTATGCAAAATGTCAAAAAGAAGCAATCTTATTATCTGAACCCATGACTTCAAGTATGGCTCAATTAGTTAGCCAGCTAAAGTATCCATCACTGAAGTTACATTGTAAATAAAACTAGACTATTTTCTTTTGCTTCCTTTCCTTTTTCCTTTTATAATCAAACTCTGACACATTCTTAGATTTAAATATAATTTAAGTTTAAAATTACTAAATTAAAAAGAAGCAAAGTGACAGAATCTGTAATTTGCATTCACAGAGAAAGGACAGTATCTATTTCTACCTAGGACTGCTATAGATGAACATGATTTTAACAAATCATTACAAACTCACAACTCTCTAATCAAGAGAGAGCAAGAAAATATATTATGATATATTCCAAATGGAGAAAATTCTTTCTAATTCTAAGGAGAGACACACAATTGTTTACAATATATCCAATAAAAACATAAAAATAGTACACATTATACATAAATAAAATCCATAAGCTCCATTATCATCACACTATTAAGTTTTTTTCAAAACTCATCTATACCTTTCTTCTCCTCTTCCATAACAGCCTTGGCAGAAGGCTTCATCCCTTTCATCTCAAATCAGTACCTGGCCCATGAATGGCTCCATTATGTCCAAGGCCTGTCCTTCTACTTGTTAGCTCTGAGAAGAGGAGAAAGCATCACTATTCATAGAGTACCTCATGGACCCATTTATAAATCTGGCAGATGCGTTTGCACATACTAAACGTCATTACTTTTAATATTGGTCTGCTTTTTCTGTGTTCTACTGAGTAAGCAAACTAAGTCCATGCGGTCAACATGTGATTCAATATATCATGAAAGATCAGAAAATGGTTTAATTCAATGACCGGTAAAGCACTGCAGCAAAAGTGTCAAAACAACTTCAGGTGATAATCAGTATGTTTATTATTGGAAACAGCATATAAGCAGAAATTATAAGTAGAGAAGTTGAGTTCTTCAGTCCTTTATTGAGTTCCTTGGTGACTTCAAAAAACCTTTCCAGAGTGCCCCCCCCACAATGAAACAATTGAATTCTAATTAAGTAGAACCTTGAATTGGAGTTGAAGTTAAATAAATGCAGTTCCTTCAGAACTGATACATACTGTAATCCTTGAACTGGTAGAGGCCTTTTAACTTCTATTCAATCCCCTATTCAATACACATAAATCATCTAGTTACATGTAAATTTTAAATGTGACTCTTTTACAGATTTCCTTTAACAACGCATTTTACTGGCAATTTTGGAAACATGAGTTTTGGTAGCCATAAACTGATTGGTTTCATTAACTATGCTTTTTCTAAATTTTTACTATACAAAGGCATGTAACTATTGGTTATCTTAAGTTTTAATTACTTTTCAACTGGCTACATGTTGTGCACCTTGCTGAAAGGCAAGCTATGAAAATGATTATGAATGGAGGAAAGTTGACTCAGCCTTTCATCCTTCCAAGGTGGGTAAAATGAAAATCCAGATTGTTGGGGGGCAATAGGCTGACTCTGTAAACCGCTTAGAGAGGACTGTAAAGCACTATAAAGCAGTGTATAAGTCTAATTGCTATTGCTAATCTAAAATGAAATCATTCCTAACAAGATAACTATCTAGTCTCTCCTTGAACACATCCAATGATTACTCCATTTATTTTATGCCAATGTCTTTCAACCTCGGCAGCTTGAAAATGGGTGGCGGGGGAATTCTGGGAGTTGAAGTCCACCCATCTTCACGTTGCCAAGGTTGAGAAACACTGTTCTATGCATATTACCTAAAATTTCGAGAGCTACTGTATATGCCATAGAAGAACCACTTTAATGCACTGGTTAATGCATCAGGATGGAAATGGGAAGAGCATGAATTTTAATTCCACTTCAGACACAAAGCCATCTGAGAAACCTTGGGTCAGTCACAGGTAGTCCTTGACTTACAAACACAGTGGAGCCCAATAATTATGTTAAGTGAGACATTTGTTCAGTGACTTTTGCCCCATTTTATGACCTTTCTTGCCACAGTTGTTACGTGAATCATTGCAGTTCATAAGTTAGTAACCTGGTTGTTAAGTGAACCTGGCTTCCCATTGACTTTGCTTGTCAGAAGGTCACAAAGCATGACCTTGGCGCACAGCAACGGCCATCAATATGAGCCAGTTGCCAAGCATCTGAATTTTGATCACTTGACCATGGGGATGCTACAAAAGTCGGGACGGTGAAAAAACGGTCATAAGTCACATTTTCCCAGTGCCGTTGTAACTTCGAATGGTCACTAAGCGAACGGTTGTAAGTCGAGGACTACCTGTAATCGCAAACCACTTCCGATAAAAACCTTGCCAAAAAAAACCCCTGCAGTTCAGGCGGACCCCAGGAATCAAAAAACGACCCGAAGGCACAAAATAATGCAGTAAATAAATAATACGTTATAGACCCTCAAGCTGCCGAAATCCCACAGTAATAATTTAGTAATTAGGTAAATTAGGTGAAACGTACAAATGCGAGCCGGTCCTAACAAAAGAGGGAAAACAGACGGTTCCCAGGGCAGAACGAGTGGGCGGCCGGCTAAAGTACGCAATCTTCGCTCCTCTCTGGCCAACGGCCACGAGCCTGGCTTCCTAACGGACCTTCGGGAGGGAACAGCAGAGCTCCGACCTCCTTCCCAGCAGCCGGCCGTATGACTCACCTTTGCGACAGGTTATCCTCCTGCGCAGCGGTCCGGCGCGGGATCCCGAGATCAAGGAAACGTGGCTAGAGAGCCACGCAAAGGAGGAAGTCCCGTAAACAGCACCCAGCCGACCCAGCTCTCCCCTTCGAGCCTCAGAGGAAGCGGAAAGAGGAGAGGCGATTGTTTCCCCTTCCTGGTTGCCTAGGTGACGCAAAGTGTGTCACCACGCAACGCCGCGTTGGGGCCTCCCCTCCCCCCTTCTCGCTGAGAACATAATTGCCTGCCGCCGCAGCCTTTTCTTCGAATTGGAAAGCTTAGAATTAGAACACCCCCCGCCCGTCCAACCCGTGACGATGGTACATTATAATGGCCGATTTGGGCCAGTCTAACTATCGCAGCTCTATGCTGCAAAGGTTTGGTGGTTCAAAGTTCATCAGGAATACGGTGCAGAGGTGGGGAACCGAGGGCCCTATTATGACTTGTGGACTTCAACTCCCAGAATTCCTGAGCCAGCCATGCTGGCTCAGGAATTCTGGGAGTTGAAGTCCACAAGTCATAATAGGGCCAGCGTTTCCCCACCCCTGTTGTTGAGAGAGAAAATGCGGAACGGCCGTTATTTCTCAGGGAAGAATGAGGCGGAGCAAGACTCAGGCCGCTAGCGATATCAAGATGGCCTTTTTGAAAATATTCTCTAAGGGACGATACAGAGGAGCAAAACAATATTCCCATGGCTTCTCCAGCCCCACCAATGTTATGGAGTCGTTCTTCTTTTCCAACTTCTCATTATTATTCTTTTCGTATCTCTATGGTCAAAAGCTTGGTTTCCTTTCCATTTTTTTAAGCAAGAGAAAGCCCCGGAAGTCAAAGAAAGCGGATGAAACGGCGGCAAAATGGCAGCTGCCGCTGGGGCAGCGAGTTCTCTATCCGGAGCCCCAATATGCGTCCTGGTGCTGGGAATGGCTGGCTCTGGCAAGACGGCGCTGGTGCAGGTGCGGGCGGAGCGGGAAAGGGGATTGGCCCGGGGGAAGGGCTGCTTGGTTCCCCTGCTCGCTTCATCTGAGCTGACCTACAGTTTGTTTTCCATAGAGACTTATTGCCTACCTGCATAGTAAGAATTCTCCTCCGTATGTTATCAATCTGGACCCCGCAGTTTACGAGCTGCCTTTCCAGGCCAATATCGGTGAGTACATAGGGTGGTCGTCTACAATCAGGGGTAGGCAACCTTGGCTCTTTTATGACTCGTGGACTTCAACTCCCAGAATTCCTGAGCCAGCCGTGCTGGCTCAGGAATTCTGGGAGTTGAAGTCCACGAGTCATAAAAGAGCCAAGGTTGCCTACCCCTGGTCTACATGCTTCGCCAACATTTTTTTCTTTCAGAAAAATATGAGAGTATTAATTAGTTTTGCTATAAAGCACAGATATGTAAACCTTTGGTTCAGAGTAGAATTAAGGACTGCAGATATCCAAGCAACTGCACAGTGTGTGTAAGCTGCCACACATTTAGCCATGGCCACCCATATGGGCATGGATGCTATTTTACCTTCCCCCAGTTGTAGGTGCCACTGAATAGCATACAGATCCTATTCCACGTACCTTTACCACTGCCAACTGAATGGAGTTGCTGTAAGATGTGAGAAGGTGAATAGCTCTCCTTATAATTGCAAAGTATAATTGGAGTGGCTCACTATTTGCAGGTTCGTTCTGCATAGAACAAAGGAATAAATTTTAAGGAATTGATTTAAGTTGAATTGGACCACATTAATATGAATGGATGACTAGACTTGATTAGACATGAATACATTAGTCTGTAGTCCAATATTTTAAATCTTTGCTGAAAGTTCCATAGGATGGATTGAAAATCTGTGTGTTTGGATTACAATTTCCATGATTACCTGATAGAGAGCCTTAGGGGAATATTAGAGCTGCATTTAAAATGATGAACAAGTATCGAGAAAGTAGGAAAAATTGGGGTGGTGGTGGTGGTATTATATTGAAAGGTAAATCATATTCTATTTGATATATTCAAACCAATAATAAGATACATTCCTTTTAACTTTGTTTTGAATCAGGCTTTGTATAATTTTCCTTTTTTTAAAAGATATTCGGGACACAGTGAATTACAAAGAAGTTATGAAGCAGTATCCTTGCATTATTTTTTTCAAAATATACCATTATTGCTTTTTTATTTATTTGTGTGTATATTGCTGGATGTATATGCTGTTCCATTCATGTCTGACTCTATATCCAAAACTTTGTTGGATGCATAAAACTCCAGTGCCATTCTGAAAGAAAGAGCGATGATGTTCTGCAGCTTGTTACTGAAATATAGCTTCCTATTAATCTCTTGTGGAATTGCTCTGGGGAATATGCTGACCCCAGTGATTTGGATTTCTTCAACTTTTCCTGACCTAGCTCCAGATATGCACTGGGCCCAAATGGTGGCATTGTGACGTCCCTCAATCTCTTTGCTACAAGATTTGACCAGGTACGTGTTTTCTTAACTGATTTTGCTGATGTGCAGTATATCATATTGGTAAGCTGTTGAATATTCTTTTCTGAAAATTTCAGTATTCTGGGCCATACATAGCAATAGCACTTAGACTTATAATATATACTGCTCCCATAGAGCTTTACTGTACTCTCTAGGCAGTTTACAATGTCAGCATATTGCCACCAACAATCTGGGTCTTCATTTTACTGTCTTGGAAAGCTGAGTCAACCTTGAGCCCTATCGGGATTGAACTCCTGGCTGTGGGCAGAGTTTGCCTGCAAAACTGCATTCTAACAACTGCACCAGCAATATATCTATATACTGTTAAAATTCTTGTTCCTGTAAAGGTGCTTCATTAGGACAACATTTGAACAAAGATATCTTCAAATGTGCTAACTTACAACATGTGTCCAAAATCTGGGACCAATAACTCCTGTGGAATTGAAATTTGGCAAATTTTATAAAACATAATACAAAATGTCATAAGACATTAAGTCATTACATAATATGTCATAAAACATTTCCTGTGCTGATGTTTGACTATTCTACACAGTTCAACATGGGCTATTTCCAAGGCAGATAGATCTCTGAATGTATCCCAAAACATTGGAGGTATAGAGGAATCTGGTACAGAAATATCTCTATGACACAAGGGATTGTGAGTTGTCTAGTAAATGCTAAAGTTTGAAGAAGTGCCAATATAACTGTAAAGTTGAAGAATGTTACTACAGTAATTTTGTTATACTAAGGACCCCTTGTTTTAGTAGCTCTTCTGCAAACTCCAGTTTTATTCCTGTATGCAAACTATATTTTCTCTTTAATTGTTATCAGGTGATGAAGTTCATTGAAAAAAGACAGACTGCATCCCAGTGAGTCAATGATAAATTTGATGTTGGGAGGGAGGGGGTGGCTACTGCGAAGCACCTGTTTTTAGAGGGGGCATCCATGCACTCCTTATCTTAAACAGATCTGCCTTACATAGGAAAAGCTACTTTTGTTCTTTATAGATCTTGTTAACATTATCTTACTGTTTAACTTGTGCAGCTCACAAAATGATAAAATGAAAAAACAATAAATTAGAGGAAATAATCAGATAATATTTCTCAAAATCCTGGGTCTAAAATTAGAATTTAAAATACATACTCAAATACCCAGCATGTCAAAAGCCCATTGGATAGGTATATTAAAGGTACCCAGGGTTGTAAAACTAAGGCATGGTGATTTTAAAAAATGGTGTTCAGCATTATTTTAAAATAAGTTTCCAATACTAGCAAAGCATGTGGCAAGTCCTCTTTGGAAAAGAAGCAGTCCAGCCATCAATTATGATGGCTTAACGAGTGTGGGGTTCTCCAGCTTTTTTGGAAAGCTATGGATAATTTGAAATTATGAAAATTATTTTATGTTCAGTCACAAAATACTGAGAGTAATCCCCCCCCACACCTTTTTTTTCCTCACATAGTTGTAAACGTTTGGTGGGTTGGTTGTTATTTTTTTGGTGACTTGGAATATTTTGAAATGAGTGCTCAAAGTCCTCTCAATTCCTAAATGAATAAAAAAAAAGATTTAAATAGGGTTGGAGTCGCATGTGAAATATTTTAGAAATATTCCTTTGAGCAACTAATTACGCCATCTCTTTTAAAACAGTGGTTTGGGACTAAAATGTTCATTTACATTGATTTGATAAGGAAATTTGTTTCTTTTCAAAACAAATTCATCCTTTGTTTTGAAAAGAAATAATTAAACCTGGACTCGGCTCTTGTCTCTTTGGGTAGTGGCTCTTGCTAGAATTTCTGAGACAGCAATGGACAAAGTACACACTACTGTTTAGCTCCTGTGTGTGCAATCTCTAATAAAATGTCTTCTGTATATTCTGAGTGTGTGAGAGCAATTTTTTTCTCTTGCAGGTATGTCCTAATAGATACACCTGGGCAGATTGAAGTGTTTACTTGGTCTGCCTCTGGTACTATCATCACAGAAGCCCTGGTTAGTGACTTGTATTCATCTGATGTTGGGAGTTAATTAAGGATGGGGAAAACATGCTATGCTTTGTAAACAGTAATCCCGCTATATCTGTTTAGGCTTCCTGTTTTCCATCGGTGGTGGTTTATGTGATGGACACATCTCGCAGCACTAATCCTATCACCTTCATGTCTAACATGCTCTATGCCTGCAGGTAGGAGGCACTTTCCCACTTTTCCTACAATTCTTCTGGTTTTTTTTTTATTCTAATGCAATTCTTGTTCCCCCCAGACTTTTTTTTTTATAGATATTTTATTAGTTTTTAACTATAACAATCTCCAGTGCCTGGTGTACAGCGTGTTGTCTTGGTTTATATTTTAACAAGAAAAAAAAGGACAATAATGAGTCTCCACTAGATGTCAGCAGTTATTTCTTTTTTCAGTTTTTCTTTCACTCAAAAAGTTATTTTTGTTATATATTTTTATAATTTATAATTTTTTATAAAAAAAATTTAGGGTATAATCTTGACAGTTTTTTAGTTCCTAAATTTGTCCAGACTGAAGTATTTTAAATCAAATTTTAATATATCTCTTCCCTCCTTTAATATTAATTCGCCGCTTCCATCTTTAAGGGAATGGGGATATAGTCCCCTCCCTTCACTTCTGGAGGTTTTCTTGCTTTGGGGATCTTTTCAAGGATTTAGATAGTAGATAGAAGAAAGAAGATCAGTACTCTCACCAATTCCAAGCACGCTGTTCACCGATTTTTAGGTTCGTGCTCTGGGACTTCGGCTGCAAGCAGTTTGGGCTAAACTCTGATCTCACGCTAGCTTTTCTCCTGTTGGGTTCGGAGGGCTTTCCCTGGATCAAACGAAGCGATTGCCGTCGCTTTGTGATCAAGGGGGGGGGTCCTCCTTCATAGTCACCTCTCCAGGGCAACTTCGGATCCATTTAGGGCAGGGGTCCTGAACCTTAGCAACTTTGAGACTTGTGGACTTCAATTCCCAGAATTCCTCAGCCAGCTGGCTGAGGAATTCTGGGAATTGAAGTCCACAAGTCTCAAAGTTGCCAAGGTTGAGGACCCCTGATCTAGGGTCTTCCAAGCAGGAAGAAACTAGCTGTGGGTGCAAAACTGGAAGTCCTCCCCCCCCCCCAGACTTTTTATTTACATGTACCAACTGCTTTCCCAGCCCAAATGTTCACTATGTTTAATTGGTTTATATCTGGTTTCCTAAGCAAAAATGTAAATCACCTTACAACAGATGATTTAGAAAAGTATATTATAAATTTAAAAGCCAGGGAAAATCCAAGCACCCACGCCAGGATAGCTGACTTAAAACAGGCGGTGCTCAGAGTGTGTGCTGTCCCCAAAAGCTTCTTCTTTTGGTCTTTCAGAAGAATCTGCCAGAGAAAGGTGTAGGTTGGGTTGTATGGGAAGGAATAATCTTTAAGATAATTATAGTGCCCTTCACAACATAGAGCCAAGTTAACATAAGTGTGTTAAATTGTACTTTAGAACAGAATGCGGTGGAGTATTATAGCACAATTTGTTATCTTTAAAATATTAATGATTCTCACAAGTGATGCTTTAGTGAAAGCCATTGTGTATTGAGCAAATTCCTATGTTCTGACTAGCAACTTCAATTGTTAGTTTATCTGCCATTTTTTAATTTGTGCCATACACATGAAACCAAAAGCAGTATTCATTTGGCTAGTCTTTTGGCTAGGATTTACCATGATGAAAACTTGTGAAGTTCATCAAAGTTACTGTATCATCTAGCTTCAGGGTACATAACTAATTACCATTAGTTTGCCAAATATTAAAAACCCCATTCTCTAGTCTCAAGGATTAAAAGGCAGAATTGTGGAATGTTAACAGTTGCATGCCTTTGATTAAGGAGGGAACAACAATTTTGTAAAATACTGGAAACCCTTTATAAACTTTTTGCTATAAATGGACAAAAATGGTGATTTGGGGATTAACTGATTAAAAAGGATTGTTTATGAGAGGAAGGATATTGTGGTATGTAATTTGGAGATGGTAATTATTATGGCTGTATTGGAGTTACTTCCTTTGTCCTTCCTTATTGCAGCTTTCCTTTGCCTTTTGCTGTCTATAGCCTTTTATTTCATATCGTTTTTCCTATTTTGCTTATGTTTCTGTAGTTTTGAATTTTGTATAAAATTCTTTTTCAGTAAAAATATTAAAACAAACTGTTTCATATTACTCGTGCTTGAGCAGGGGGCTGGACTAGAAGACCTCCAAGGTCCCTTCCAGCTCTATTCTATTCATATCTGGATCACCTTTTTATCTCTGATCATCCACTCTTTTTTTTTCAGCATCCTATACAAAACAAAGCTCCCATTTATAGTGGTCATGAACAAGGTGAGTGGGATGCTCCAGAGTCCATATTACATGTGAGATATTAATGAGATTATCTCTTAATATTAAACCAACATTGTCTTTCTACCATACCTTCTTGTTTCTCTTTTTTTTTAAAAAGTGAAGGCTATCTATTCAAATTCAACTCCTGATGAGGATGTGGAGATGTCTATATAATTTTGGCAGCATAATAGATGTGCTATTGCCTTGTTCCAGAATTTAGGGGGGGGGGGAGAATTTCACTTCCCATTTTAATTGCAGCTGTGGGATTTCCAGGTCTGTCTCCCATTGAAATATTAACCAGATTTAGTCCTATTTAGCTTTTTTTGAGATCAGTTCAGTTAAGATGCTGTCACTTGCTGTGACTTTTCTCTTAAAAGAAACAACAAAAATGTAAGGTAAATTGTGATATCCAACTTATATTTAGGGTATTATATGTTGTTGTCGTTACTTTCTATTATCTCCCAAGAAAAAGAAAATGGTTTTGAAGAAAAATTACACAGTGGTCATTAAATGGCAAATGTCAGTAAATACAAAATGAGATGTAGGCCAAAGTAATCTTAACGGATTATACCATTGGAATCTCGTTGATATTGAGTAATCAAGACAGTCACCTTGAGATTGTTTTAGATATCTTTATGAAATGTCAGCAATGTATAAATACTGTGAAAAGTCCAGATTCCAACATTTCAGGAGGGACAGAAAATTAAACTATCAATAGCACAATGTTGTTAGATAACTGTTGTTGTAACCACATTTGAGGGACTGTCTCATCCCAGTGGGATTGGCCTGCCACACCCGTCCCAGCAGAGGCGGCTTTCTGCGGGTCCCCATCGGCCAGGGTATTCCTGCAGGCAGGGTCTAGGAGAGGAGCCTTCTCT